ATGAAGATTCTCCTACCTGAGGAAAGAAATACTGGTCATCATGAGCACTTCAGTTGTTTTTGGTTTTTGTTGTTGTTTTTAGATACCGTCTTGACCCGTAGCCCAGGCTGGAGTGCAGTGGCATGGTCTCAGCTCACTGCAACTTCTGCCTCCAGGTTCAAGCAGTTCTTCTGTCTCAGCCTCCCGAGTAGCTGGGATTACAAGCATGCGCCACCACGCCCGGCTAATTTTTGTATTTTCAGTAAAGATGGGGTTTCACCATGTTGGCCAGGCTGGTCTCGAACTCCTGACCATGTGATCCGCCCACCTCAACCTCCCAAAGTGCTGGGATTACAGGCATGAGCCACCTCGCCCAGCCGGGCACTTCAGTTTTGAATGTGTTCACTAGAAGAGTCTATATTTTAGTTGACAAGTCCAAAAGGCAATTGGGTATATGGATTTTGACCTCAGAAGGAAGGTCTGGACTAGAGAAATATTGGTAGCCAATGGCATCTATATGGCAGGTGAAACCTTTGACAGATGCAATTACTGGCAGAGATCTTATAAATAAGAAAAATGGTTCACATATGTGCCCTAGAGAATACAGCATATAAGGGGCAGCAGAATGAGATGAGCCCACAGAGGAGCTTAGGAAGGAGTAGCTATGCCAGACACCGTGGCTCACACCTGTAATCCCCACACTTTGAGAGGCCAAGGTGAGAAGTCAGGAGTTTGAGACCAGCCTGGGCAGCATAGTGACACCCTGTCTCTACAAAATAAAAATTAGCGGGTCGTGGTGGCGTGCTGCTCTATTCCCAGCTACTTGGGAGGTGAGGCAGAAACGATCATTTGAGCCCAGGAGTTTGAGGCTACAGAGAGCTGTAATAGCGCCATTGCACTTCAGCCTGGGTGACAGTGAAACCCTGTCTCTAAAAAAAGAAACCTAAAACTGATGGCCTGTGTATTGCAATGAGTGCTCTTTAGACATTAAGACTTGAATATGAAGACTTGACCTCCAGAAATTAACAAATAACAGTGTCATGGAGGCGTGCAACACAGTATTGTCAGATGGCATGGCCTCAAAGATGCATAGGGGTGAATCAGTGATCTGGAAGCAGCAGCAGGCTCCCGGAATACACTAGCACCCTCCTCTGGGCCCTGTGGAATATGGGGACATGCTAGAATTTAGCAGCTTCCCCTTGCACGTTTCAGTTAAGGCAAGTAGGTGGAGGATGTGTCCTTCCAAGTTGTCGGAGGTAGATGAGTTTGCCCCACAGAGGCCAGTAGAAAGGATTGAGCTTTTATTTTTCCTAGGATACTTGAGTTAAGGTTGCAGAGGACCAAGAAAAAGCACGATGTGTTTATAGGATGGGTACAGAGAGAAACCAGCACTTGAGATGCTGATGAAGATGACAGAAATGAAAGGCATTACATTAGCTGGTTTCCACATCACACATTGGATGCTAAAGCTGATAGGAGCCTCTAAGTGCTCAGAGGCTGTGATTATGGCTGCATTTGGTGTTTCTGGGAGGGGACAGAGTAAAGCAGAACCTCAAACACTAACAAGCGTTCGTTACTGCCTGCTGTGTTGCTGTGCAGCTGGGAAATTGGAGTGAATGGAGGAATCTCAGAAAAGAGTATAATCCTTGCAATGGTAAAAAGAACCTGTGGGCACTTGAGATCTAATGACAGAATGAAGCAAAGGCTGGGGTGGAGAAGGAAAGCCCAATGGGAGTCTCCTGCGCAAAGAAGCATCAAGAAACTGCCAAGCTTCAGGACACTGGAAAGGACAGTGTGTGTGAGAACATCATCACCTCGCCGTTTCTGTGGATGTGGGGCTGCTTCTTTGTATTTGGTTGTGTTGCCCTTTCTGTGTCAGTTTTTCATGCTGTATTTCAGACAGCGTCTGACTCATTAGGATCATCCTAATGCATGGCATTGTGTAGCAGCTAGCTGCCATTTTCACTGCAACATCTGCAAATTTTTCTTTGAAATGTTCTTGCTCGGTGGTATGGTCAAGAGGCTGATAACCAGAATCTGCAAAAAAAAAAAAAAAAGTAAAAACCAGGGCAGGGCCAGGATTGAAATAATTGGTGATTAGCCCCCTTCCACCAAATTTGAAGATTCACTCAAATTTGTGATGACTTTCACAAAGCTGTGATCATTTGAAATAAGAATTCTTACAACTAAGGAATCAACTGTTCATGCAGTAGGAATTTTGTGTTTCTGAACCAGTGAAATATTTTCCCTCAGGGCAAAGAATAACACTTGGTGCTGTAAGTGGGGCAGAAAGAGCAAGACAGAGAGGAGGGAACCATTACAGCATTCATCTCAAAAGTGCATCGAAAATTTGAATCGTGACTCTTGATTGCTTTAGACACATTTAAGTCCAAGATCTAGAGCTTCTTTTCTTTAGGTAAGGACTTTGGAGAGCTGGGGAGAAAAACAAGAATACATAGCAGAATATCCGGACCCTGGACCTTGAGCCCAGTTGATATAAATTGTTGAGTGTTTTAAGCTATTTTCTCATTTCCTTAAACTTTGGAAGACCTTAGGTCTTTACATTCCAAACAGTACTCCTTTTTTCCTAGCTATTCTAAACTAGTTACTAGCTTTTAGAAAAATGAGTTTAGCGATGACTACTGTTGCCCATTTTGTTTGTCTGAGAAGCCCATGCAGCATACGAAATGAAAAATTGAAACAATAGATGATTCCTGGAGGTAAATTCATGTTGTAAACCAATTTTGCCTATGGAACAAATATTAGAATTAAATTATTTTGTCCCCTCTTTGCTGCCATCATTGCCAAAAAAGAAACTGCTTTAGAGGAGTGTGTGGGTGTCAAGAACAGTGATACTGTGTTATATAAATAGCCATTAGGCAATGCAAAAAAGTGTGCCAGAAATTGCTGTTAATTTACCTAGCTGCCATCTAAAATCTTGTTAGATTAGCAGCTGCACCTGAGGAGAGTCTGTATCTGATGTATTCTATTTGTAAAATCCTCCCATATCCCTTTAGAAGTGAATGAGCCCCAGTTATGTAGCAGCTGCTAGTACATGGATTCCATGCTCAATCACTGTAGCCCTTTAGGATTGATACTGAGCACCCAGCAGCTCCTCTGAAATACTCCAGCTGGTTCACAGAGGGTTAAGATCAAAGTCTCAGCAGTGTCTTACGTTCTGAAAATACCAGTTCCTAAACTCTTCCCTTCTCCTTTATGATTCCTAATATTATAAGATTTAGTTTTACTCTTGCTTTTAAATGCAAATAGACCTGACATTTGAATTTTTTAATGTAAAATGCCTTTTTACCTTAAAAAACTTTATCTAAAACAAAATTTGTCCTTTTTAAGATAAAGTTTCCCAGTAAGTTGTATGAGCTCCCAACACCCCCTCCCCGCTGCTCCCAAGGAAATTGATATTCCCTTCCTCTCATTTCTTTGCCTATATTTCCATTCTTCTATTGCTCAATATTACTACTGGCATCACATGGATTCTTTAACCGGTGCTCAAGGTTAAAAGCAGAGCAGTCTGTGATCATTAAGACTGGAGAGCCAGGCACTATGGCGTGTGCTTGTAATCCTAGTTCCTTGAGATGCTAAGGCAGCAGGGTAGCTTGAGCCCAGGAGTTTAAGACCAGCCTGGGCAACACAGCAAGTCCCCATCCCCCCCAAAATTGTTTTAAATTAGCCAGGCGTGGTGGTGGGTGCCTATAATCCTAGCCACTGTGGAGGCTGAGGCGGGAGGATCACTTGAGCCCAGGAGTTTGTGATTGTAGTGAGCTATGATCATGACACTGCCTGGGCAACAGAGGGACACCCCATCTCTAAAAAAGAAAAAGAAAAAAATAGAGAAAATGGTGTCTCACATGTCTGACTCAGTCTGCTTCTCCTTAGTCTTGTGCCTTTCATTCTGGAGTAGATGGGGTGGAGCTAGAGATAGACCATAGCCATCTGAGTGTGGGACTATGTCTAAGGACTGCTGAGTTGTCTGTTGTGGTTAATTATCCAGACCACTCTACCTTCTCTACACACACTGTGGTGTGACTGTAAAGATGCAGGACTAAGGCAAGGTTATGGCATGAGGAGAGGGAATACTAATTGCATTAAGGCGTAACAAGTGTTAAGAATAGCTTTCATTTATTGAGTCTTTCTATATAACAGGCTTTGGGCCAAATTCCAGACCCATGTTATAAAGCCAAATCCTCCCAGCAGCACTTAGCATTATTATGCCTTTTTGACAGATGAGGAGACATGGCCTTTTGTTAAAAAGCTTGCCCAAGTTCACACAAACAGTAGGAACTGGAGCAAGGCTACGAACCCAAGCCTGTCTGATGTACAAGCCTTGCTGTGGAACTGCTGTCCTGTACTGCAAGTGATCTGTCTGGTTGCGGGTGGGTGGTAGGCGTGTGCACTGTCAAGATGGAGGAAAAGAAAGCACGTTGGCCTAATTCCACAGGTTCAACTGTGTGGGATCCTAATGTGGACCACAGAAAGGGAAGTGAGAGCCAGAAGACGGGACAGGGATTGGAAAGCGTAAGTCACTATCTGGGTACATGCAAATGTGATCATCATTTAACCTCTGAATTTTTTTTCTTTCTTTTTTAAAGACAAGGTCTTGCATTGTCGCCTAGGCTGGAGTGCAGTAGCACAATCATGGATCACTGCAGCTAACCTCTGAATTTTTGATTTATGTCTCTACACTAAAGGTTCAATTATCCATGTAAATGGAGTGAAGCCAGATGTTAATAATGCTAAAGAACCAATAATCTAAGGAACTCTTCAGTAGCAGTTTGCCATTTGTATGTGACTTGCTGAGAGTAGATTTATTTTCCTAAATCTGTTTGCTTAGTCATCCCAGAATGGTAATGGATCTGCCTGCGCCACGAGCAGAGATCAAAGTAGATTATCCATAGGGGAAGATTAGACAGTTAATTCTAAAGGAAAAGCTTTTAAATTCATTTGAAAGCATCGTCTCAGACACACTGACACCTTTTCTTTTTTTTTCCTCTGAATTCATTTAGAACATATGCTGTCAGGAGGATAAGAGATGCCTTCAGAGAAAATAAAAATGTGAAGGATCCTGTAGAAATTCAAACCCTAGTGAATAAAGCCAAGAGAGACCTTGAAGTAATTCGTCGACAGGTAAGATGGTTCAATGACGTACTGTTTTTCATTAAGAGCTTTAAACTTTGACATATCCCCCTTGATTAGACAGCAGTGCTTTTGGTGTTGGTGATTTACAGAGCAGGATCATGAAACTCTGTTCCTTGTACTAATACAGATATGTAAAGGTGAACTCTCATATTTTCAGATTCAAGTTGAACTTAAAATATCAGCTTTCCAGAATTTCCAGGAAGTGTATCCTTCTGGAAAGCTGATACTTTAAATATGAGAAACTTCTGCATTACTTTTATTGAAAGCTAAGTTTTTATAAGATGTATTGCACATGTATACTTCGATATATTTCAGAGTATAAATATATTCTCCCTTTCCTAGTATTTTTTAATCACAATTCAGGATAAATAGAACGTGGCCCTTTTCTTGAAGACACCATCGTGGGTGGTGAACCTGAATTACGTTGCACATGGGCGGTGCATCTGCAGGTGCAAATGGTGTCAAGTCAGCTGCTTGGGTGCTGACCCCATAAAGGACCCTGGAGGGCGTGTTTTCATTTCGTGGAAGTGCCAAGGATCACCTTGTGCTTCCTTTTCTCATCCTCGTGAGGCGGGCGGGGCTTCTCCCATCCTCGTGAGGCGGGCCTCGTGAGGCGGGCGGCTTCTCCCATCCTCGTGAGGCGGGCGGGCTCCCATCCTCGTGAGGCGGGCGGCTTCTCTCATCCTCGTGAGGCGGGGTGGGGCTTCTCTCATCCTCGGGAGGCGGGGGTGGGGCTTCTCTCATCCTCGTGAGGCGGGCGGCTTCATCCTCTTGAGGTGGGCGGGGCTTCTCTATCTCTCTGAGGCGGGCGGGGCTTATTCTCGTGAGGCGGGCGGGGCTTGTCTCATTCTCGTGAGGCGGGCGGGGCTTCTCATTCTCGTGAGGCGGGCGGGGTTTGTCTCATTCTCGTGAGGCGGGCGGGGCTTCTCTCATTCTCGTGAGGTGGGCGGGGCTTCTCATTCTCGTGAGGCGGGCGGAGCTTCTCTCATTCTCGTGAGGTGGGCGGAGCTTCTCTCATCCTCGTGAGGCGGGGGTGGGGCTTCTCTCATTCTCGTGAGGTGGGCGGGGCTTCTCTCATTCTCTTGAGTCGGGCGGGGCTTGTCTCATTCTCGTGAGGCGGGTGGGGCTTGTCTCATTCTCGTGAGGTGGGTGGAGCTTGTGCAGCGGCTTAATCTCCTGGGCGGTCTGATAACATCCCCAAGAGTAATTAGAACGTCAGCGGTTAAAGTCACCGTCCACCAATGGGTTTTCTTGCTCTCTATAAAAACACCCTTTTCACTGTTTTTCTTGGACTTAGCAGCAATCACGCAATAAACTCCATTTCTGCTTCCATTCGTGTTTCTCTTTTACTTGCAGGAAATTTGTTTATAAAGTGTGGAGTGGGAAACCGTTTACCATTTCTGTAAGTTATGCTGTACTGTTTTGAGAGGGCGTCTTTAGCATCATCAGGAGATGCCAGCTTGGCTGATATTAAATTAGATAATAATCTTTCCCTGACCCTTCTTCATGCTTGACTCTAAACAGAATTCAAAAAAGAAGCAATATTTGAAACTATAATTTGCAATTTATGTCAAGAGTAAAGGTCTTGTTATATTGCCTACATAATATAACAATTCTTTCTAGAATAACATTTTGGATTCTCATAACCATCCTTGAGTTCTACAGCTATTTAGTAATAGAATAACTGCCACACTCAGGCCTGGGAAATGATCTCTAGAGCCATGAGGATTGTAGGGTACTCAGAAAAGAAACTGATCTGCACATTTATATATACTTTGAGAATAGCATTTATGTGAGTAAACATTTTGAAAACTCTAGAACAATGGCATTTCCAGTCACCAGTAGTTGAATTTTATGAGATCCTTTAGCAGTGGAGCATAGAAGAACAAGCAGCTGAGTTCTTATTTTGCATAAACGCAGAAAGATTTTGTTCTTTGGCACTTTCTGTGTGTAGAGGTTGGCAAAACAGGCAGGTTTTATCTTTAGCGTAAAATTATACAGAGTATAAACTGCTTAGAAAAGGGGGATTGTAAATAATCTGTGCCATCATTTCTCCTGCTATATCTAATTGTCTGTGTCACTTCTTGGTTTGAAATGCTCAAACCACCCTTTCAAAAAAAACCAAAAAACAAAAACGAAAGACTAAACTGGCCCTCATCTCACATCCCAGTGAGTCCCCCCACCCCCCACGACAGACTCACTGGAGCAGTGACATGTGCGGGGCAAGGGCGCCCTCCCCAGGGCAGCCTGTCTACTGCACCTTCGTGATGGAGAATACACACTGCGGGGCCAGGGCTTCCACGGCGACCTTGCAGAACAGCATGCTGTCACCACCTCAGGGATGAAAGCGTTCTCATCCCTTCAGAGAACCAGTTAGACAGCAGCAGCTAGGAAGTTTCTACTCACTTCCCTTTCATGTCAAGACTCTTCCTGAATCCACATGCAGCCTTTACCGTAGTTAGGGTATAAGGCATAGTGGCCCCCCAAGCCATCTGGCTGCAAGCTGGCATAAGTTGCCTTTGGACTAACAGCCTATGGTGGGGTGGAGAGTCTGTATTCTTGCACACTGTCCTCTGTAACTGGCTGCTGTAGTAGCCTTCTGACCTGTCCTCCGGGTGCCCCCACTACCACTGCACCCCACACATGGTCTGTTTTCCACACACCACCATCACAGTGATCTTTTTCAAAAGAGAGATTAGGCCACTGCCCCGCTCAACCCCTTCCAGGCTCTTGCTTCATGGCACCCTAACATAAAACCTGAAGCCCGTCCGAGGTCCCCAGAGGCCCTCCATTGCTCTCCTCTTCCTCACTCTCCCTGTTTCCATGAACTTGCTCCCATCTCAATGCCTGTGCACCCCCTGCCTGGAGGAGTCCCTCCAAACATTCCTGTAGCTCCCTTCCCCTTCCACCCAGGCCTGTGCTCAGATTTCATCTTCCCGTAGGGGCCCCTCTGGGATCACACCATATAAAACAGACTCACTCTCTCTCCCCTGCCCTGCATTAGTTTTCCTGACAGCACTTATCAGTACCTACTATGACATTACTTGTGGCCTTGTCTGTTTTCTCCCTCTTTTGCAAGACAGCAGGGGCCATGAGAACAGGGATCTCCCCTGTCGTTGTCATCATCTCCACTGGGTGGGGAAGAGCATGGACTCTGGGGCCAGCCCGTCTGTGTTCACGTCCTGACTCAGCCTGCTAGCCATGTGACCCTGAGCAAGATATTTAACCTCTCAGTGCCTAATGCAAACTGCAGATGAAAGTAAGCCCTACTTTATGGATGGTGGTGAGGATCAAGTACACTAACATATGCAAAGCCCCTGGGATAATGCTAGCACATAGTAAATGTTATGCAAATGCTTGCTGTTATTATCCACAGGATCGAGAACATCCCACGTAAGAACATCCTTACTAAGAGCTGGCTCTTAGTAAGTTTTCACTGACTAACTAAATGCATGAAGTATATTCCCTGAGGTCATACACCTCAGTCACGGGGTCAACACCACCAAAATCAGGGTGTCTTTTTGGCCACCCGCAGTCTCCCTCCTGAAGGAATGAACCATGAAAGGAATATGGAAATCTGATGGGGATCATGACATATTAACTCTCATGGAGTTGTGATAGTCTTCATGTCAAGTCTCTCTTCCACTTGATGATTTGGACTCCAAGCCCCACCTGCCCAGGTGCACATGGATCCCAGCTTCACGGTTCCACCAGTGAGGAAGCCCACAGCCACTTTTCCAGCTGCCAGACATGCACACCATAAAGGCAGTGCTCACACTGAAATTCTCCACCCACAACACTTACCTGCTCCCCCTGCTTTCCACTCATTCTTCAGAGGGCGGCTTCTTCAGTCACATGAGTCCCGCTGTGGTGCTAATGATACCCCCACCCCCCGTCCCATAACCCTGGTAAATTTTGCTTTTTAAAATAAGTCTGTGGACAAAAATGATCTGGTTTCCTGGGTAGAGAAACCGAGGTGCAGGAAATCTGGAAGCCTTGTCTAAGGTCACATGGCCTGGCATGCGCTCAGCTCTTCTAGCTCCTTAGAGCAAACTCAGAAGTTCAAGGACATGGGCTCCTGAGTCAGTAGAAACTGAAGGATAGTCTTAAGTCATCCTCCCGTTTTGTTCCGATGATATTTAAGGACCACTTCAACTCTCCTCAGAGGTCATTCATTCTTCCTTTGTGTCCTTAATGTGCAAGATCGTCGTCTTCATTGTGGCAACCCTGAGGGATTCTAGATACATCAGCCTTTGTTAGCCTTCACCCAGCGCTTAAGGATTACTCTCATTCCAAGAAGTGGCAGCTCGTTTTTCTTTCGTGATAAGCAAGTCATCCTCCTTTTGCTCATTTCCCATGATTATGGCCCACTCAGTAGAAGCCAGACATACACTTGTTCTTTCCTTAACATTCTTGGACCACATCTCCCCTGGAAAATTACCATCCAGTCTGTCAGTCTCGAATCTCTTTCCAACTTCACGCATCATGTCATATCCCAGAATTAGCAGAGACATTCTTCTACCTTTTGATAAACTGCCGTTGTTTCCATATAAGATGATTCTGTAAAGCCAGCCGACCCTGAAAGCTCCCCCTCTCTGCTGAAAGCAAGTTCTGGGCGAGCCCCCACTACACCTAATTTCCCTGTCTGCCCCCGGGTGAGATCAGAAAGATTGGAGAGGCCTTTTATGTCCAGACCGGCTGGAGCCAGAAAGAATGGACAAACCTGGGTGGTTTGTAGGGCTGGGCAAATAGCTCTCAAACAGTCTGAGCGGCAAAGAAGCACCAAAGGATTTCTACCCCAGACAATTGACAAGGCTTCTTAGGTGTTTTACATCAGAAACAGGAGCAAAAAGGCAGCCCAATTTTGCTTTTGTCTCTGTACTTTCCTCCATTTAGCTATTCTAAATAAAGATACTCCTCTGGACCCTATTTGCAAGGTGTTAGTTAGAGTCACTATCAGTAAACTGCCCTGGCTTATAGGTAGTTCT